TTGCTCCCAGTTGCCCCTAGCACAGACCCAGTCGCTCGCAGTATGATCCTGATGTGATCCCAGTATGGTCCCAGTATGATCCCTGTACAATTGCAGTTACCCCCTGCATGGTCCCAGTTTGTCCCAGTTGCCTCCAGCATAGATCCAGTCAATCCAAGTATGATCCCAGTCTTCCCCCAGCATGGTCCCAGTCAATCCAAGTTTCCCCACTGTAGATCCAGTCACTCCCAGTTGCTCCCAGTTGCCCCCAGCATGGTCCAAGTCACTCCCCATGTGGTCCCAGTCACCCCCAGGATGGTTGCAGACACTCCCAGTATATCCCAGTTGCCCTCAGCATGCTCATAGTCATACCCAGTTACTTCCACTTGCCCCAGGATGGTTCCAGTTTCCATCAGGATGATCCCAGTCACTCCCAGTTTATGCCAGTTGCCTCCAGCATGCACCCTGTCACTCCCAGTTACTCCCAGTTGCTTCCAGCATGATTCCAGTTGCCCCAAGTATGTTCCCAGTTGGCTTCCAGCCTGGCCCCACTGGCTCCCAGTTCCCCCCTGTGTAGTTCCAGCCACTCCCAGTTTGATCCTGGTCCCTTACAGTCACTCCCACTGTGATTCCAGTATGGTGCTGGTCACTCCCACTATGATCCCAGTCACTCCCAGTCACTCCCAATAGGATCCCAGTTGCCCCCTAGGTGGTCCCAGTTGCTCCCAGCCCCTCACCCAGGATGGTTCCTTTCCCTCTCAGGGACTCCCAGTCTGAGTCCAGTCTGGCCCCAGTCACTCCCAGTCACTCCCTGGAGGATGCCATTTGCCCCCTGCATGGTCCCAGTTGCTCCCAGTATGATCCCAGTATGAATCCAGTCACCCCCAGTATGATCTCAGTAACTTCCAGACACTTCCAGTACAAAGCCAGTTTGATCCCAGTCATCCCCAGTATGGCTGCAGTCCCTCTCACACACACCCCCCCCAGTATTATTGCAGTCACTCCCAGTATGATCCCAGTATGACCCCAGCAGGGGCCCAGCTGCTCCCAGTAGGATCCCAGTTGCCCCCAGCATGGTTTCACTTGCTCCCATTCACCCCTACTGTGGTTCCAGTCACTCCCAGTATAATCCCAGTCACTCGCAGCCACTCCCAGTATATCCCAGTTGCCTCCAACATGCTCCCAGTCAGTCCCAGTATGATCCCAGTCTCTCCTAGTAGGATCCAAGTTACCCCCTGCATGGTCCCAGTTGCTCCCAGTCACCCCACTGTAGTTCCAGTCTCTCCCAGTCTCTCCCAGTATGACTCCAGTATGATCCCAGTGACCCCCTATATGGTGTCAGTCACACCCAGGATGAACCCAGACATTCCCTGGCACTGCCAGGATAAAACCATTTGCCCCCAGCAGGGTCCCACTTGCTCCCAGTTACCCCACTGTAGTTCCAGTCACTCCCAGTATGATCCCTGTCACTCCCAGTCTCTCCCAGTATATCCCAGCTGACCTCAGCCTGCTCCCAGTCAGTCTCAGTACACTCCCAGGCAGTCCCAGTATGATCCCAGTCACTCCTGGTCTCTCCCAGTATATCCCAGTTGCCCCCAGTGTTGTCCCACTCACTCCTGAATGCTCCCAGTAGCTTCCAGCATGATCCCAGTTGCTCACAGCCACTCCCAGTCACCCCCAGTGGGGTCCTAGTCACTCCCAGTATGATCCCAGTCACTTCCAGCATGATCCCACTTGCTCCCAGTATATCCCAGTTGCGCCAACATGGTCCCAACTGCCCTCAGAATGCTCCCAGTCACTCCCAGTATGACCCCAGTCACTTCCAGCATGATCCCACTTGCTCCCAGTATATCCCAGTTGCGCCAACATGGTCCCAACTGCCCTCAGAATGCTCCCAGTCACTCCCAGTATGACCCCAGCCACCTTCACTGTGGGCCCAGTTGCTCCCAATATGATCCCAGTTGTGCCCAGCATGGTCCCAGTTGCTCCCAGTTCCTCCCAGTGGGATCCTAGTAGCTCCCAGTTGCCCTAGCATAGAACCAGTTGCTCCCAGTATGATCCTATTCTGATCCAGTATGATCCCAGTACAATTGCAGTTGCCACCAGTATGATACCAGTGACTTCCAGACACTTCCAGTACAAAGCCAGTTTGATCCCAGTCATCCCCAGTATGGCTGCAGTCCCTCTCACACACTCCCAGGATTATTGCAGTCACTCCCAGTATGATCCCAGTATGACCCAGCAAGGGCCTGGTTGCTCCCAGTATGATCCCAGTTACCCCCAGTGTGGTTCCAGTTGCTCCCAGTCACCCCTACTGTGGCTCCAGTCACTCCCAGTATATCCCAGTTGCCTCCAACGTGCTCCCAGGTGCTCCCAGTATGATCCCTGTTCCCCAGTTCTGGTCCCACTGGATCCAGTCGGGGTCTCGGTGTATCCCAGTGTCCCCCCTGTCCCCCCACCCCGGTGTCACCCCCTTTTCTCTCCCCACAGAGCTCCTGAGCCGCCGGCGGCCGCAGCCCCTCCCCGGGGCCTCGGGCCCAGCCTGGACCCCCCCCCCATCCCCATGAGGATTTTGGGGGGTCGTGTGTCCCCCCTCCCCTGCTGTCACTCTGCCTCCGCCCGGCTGCTCCCAGTGATCCCAGTAAAGCTTCCCAGTTCTCCCCAGTCCCGGTTATTGGGGGGCAGGGGGGGAGGGGCTTGGGGGGATCCCAAGGAGTGGAGCCGAGTTTGGGGGGGCAGAACCGGCCCTGGGATGGATCGGGAATGGGGACCTCCCTGTGTTCCCCCTGTGTCAACCCCTCTGGGAGGGTCTTGGTGGGGCACCTGCCCCTTAAAAGGCATCCAGCTCACCCCAAAAGGTGCTGGGACCCCCCTAAATCTCCCCACCGGCCCTGGAGAACCCCCCAAACATAGTCAGAGCCCACCCAGGATCCCACCTAAACCCTTTTTTTGGGGGTGCTGGGACCCCAAACTGAGTTGGAGGGAGCTGGGGATTGGGGGGATGATGTGGAAGATGTGAGAGGAGGGAAAAATGGGGGTTGGGACCCCCAGAGTAATTTGGAGGTGAGGTGGGAATTGAGAGGACAATGGAAAAGTGAAAGGAACAGGGAAAAGTACGGAAAAGGGAGGGTGGTCTGGTGGGTCAGATGGTCTTATGGGGGCCTTTGGGCACAGGGGGGGCTGGGAAAGGGGGATGGCCCCCTGAGCTTCCAACTGACTGTGAGGTGCTGGGGGCTGCTGGATCCAATCTCAGCCTTGGATCATG